TATATATATACCAGGTTCGATCCCGTGTATTACACGTGATAATTTGAAAAAATTAAATCATGTCAGAAACTTATCTTACAAATATACCAAAGGGCCTTTGGCATAGCGGTATCGTAGCCCTTGGCATTCTAGAATGTCAGGGGTTCAAACCTCACCATAGGTGAGGAGGGTGTGTGAGTTTATTTGTTGCATTTGCCGTATATAAATATTATATACTTCAAAAAAAACTTATCTTAGAAATATGAATGATCTTCGAAAGTACAATACTACTTCAAACTTGTACTTTTTAAATAACTCTGAAGAATAACTCTGAATAATTGAATTTAGAAATGAAACCATATCAATAATTAGTTAAAATGAAGTTAAACCCTAGAATAAAATTAATTTTAGAAATAAAATTATATCAGTAAATTGAATTTAAACTTAAAAGTAAATTTAGAACGACTATTCAGACTTGTACTATTAAAATAACTCTGAAGAATAATTTCATACTTAGACTTCAGAGCTTTGTATAGTCAAGAAAAGTCAACTTTTGTCGATTTCCGACACAAATCCCCTACAAATCCGTCCCTGAATTTTTTTTTTTAAAATAACATTTTATTTCTACAACTTTCCCGACGGATTTGTAACGGATTTTTTTTTTACTTATTTAATATTGTCACAAATATGTCGGAAATCCGTCACAAAATTGGTCTAATTTGTTGAAATAAACTAATTTGCGTAAATTAGATAAAATTTCCGATGGATTTTAATTGATTCTTATATTTAATTATACCCCGTCGGAAATGTTTAAGAATTTTTTTTTATTCTTTTCCCTTCCAAAAAAAATATGTTTAAAAAAATATGTTCAACGGATTTATGACGGATTATAATTTTCTAATAAAAAGTTATATTCCGTCGGAATTTATTTAAAAAAAATATATGTTTCATAAGAAAAAATAAAAAACTTTTTTTAATAAGTTGCGACGGATTTCCGAAGAAATATAACTCTTTTGTGTCGTAATATTCCTTTTTATTATAAAAATTATTATTGGTCGGAAATTTTGAACTTTTTAAATATATTTTTTTGGAAGGAAAAATATATAAATAAAAACTTTTTTCTTTGAACATTACCAACGGATTTTCGACGGAATGTGCATTTAGCGGCGGGGGGTTTTCCGACGACAATATCCGTCGGAAAGTTGTTTTTCCGACAGATTTTGCCATCGGAAAAACCACATTTTTAGTAGTGTGTTAATCAAATGGGTATAATTGAACTGTAAATGTAAATTGCGTCTAGATACATTCAAATAACTCTAATTGAACCACTAATGTAAATTGTGTATGAATACGTGTTTAGGCGGGAAAACAATAAAACCGACTCACCAAAAGATGACAAGTGCCACCCAAGTTACTTATTTATTACAAGTATATAAGTTACTTATTTATTACAAGTATATATATATATATACTTGTAATAAATAAGTAACTTGGGTGATATATATTTCAAATAGATTCATTGCTCCGACCCAAAATACAATTAATCTGGCGGAAGTAAAAATGATGAAACAAAACAGAGCCATCTGTACATTTATTTCATCAAAGTTCAAACAAGCAACAACCAAGAAAAAAACAGAGGCTATAAACAGCACAGCTTATTCATTCAGCTGCCTGAACCTGAACCTGAACCTGAACCAAAACTAAACTTACTTCCACACCCACACATATTCATTCATTCCCCAACCCTTTTTCACCATATAACCCACCCAACTAATCTCTATCTTTTTCACTATGCCCTAATTGCCTCTTGTTCTTTCTTCCCTGATTCTAACCACCTGTTTTCACCTTCCTTTCCATCTTCCACCAGAAACTTATCCACCTGTGCCGCCACCTGCCGCCCTTCCGAGATAGCCCACACCACTAGAGATTGCCCTCTCCGGCAATCACCAGCAGCAAATACACCTTCCACATTCGTTGAAAACCTCCCGTATTCCGCCTTCACGTTTGACCTCTTGTCTTTCTCCAACCCCAGTTTGTCCGCAATTGTCTGCAAATACCGCCCGTTTAGCAACTAAAGTGATTTTAAGAAAATATAACGATTGGATGTACTATATCAATAAAAGAATACTTACCGGCTCAGGACCAAGGAAACCCATGGCTAGCAAAACCAGGTCAGCTCCGAGGATCTCTTCAGAACCCTCGACTTCTTTAAACTGGAACCGTCCACTCTCATCCTTCTCCCACTGAACACGAACCAACTCCAACCCTTTCACTACTCCATTCTCGTCACCAATRAACCTTTTAGTCAATACCTCRTATGATCGTGGGTCTTTGCCRAATTTTGTAGCAGCTTCCTGGTGTCCATAATCAACACGGAATACACGAGGCCACTGTATGCCAAAAATATCAACACAAAACAAGACCTTGTTAGCTAAATATCGTTGTAAATACAGAACGTCTATTTGGGCATTTAGAGATATTTGACGTCCTAATTTTGTTGYAGTGACTCATATTTGCACACAAGATTTGACAAACCTGTGGCCAAGGGTTGCCTGGAGCCCTGGTTCGTGGTGGCTCAGGAAGAAGCTCAAGATTCACGATGCTGGTGCAACCATGTCTTATAGAAGTCCCGATACAATCGGTACCAGTATCACCTCCACCGATCACGATCACCTTCTTTCCCTTTGCAGAGATATATTGACCATCCTCAAGATTGCTATCCAACAAGCTTTTAGTATTTGCATGCAGAAATTCCATAGCAAAATGTACTCCCGATAGCTCTTGTCCAGGAACAGGAAGATCCCTGCAATAGTACATTTCAAGTTGCTTTTAGTATACTGGTAGAAAATATCGACCGCATTTCAGAACTTCGTTAAAAAGCTTCTCGTAACGCACCTTGGCTTTGTTGAACCCACTGCTAAAATAACGGCATCGTTGTCTTGACGAAGACTCTCGATGGAATATGATGGATCATTTCCCACACTGGCATTAACCACAAAATTCACACCTTCCTTGGCCATAAGGTCAACCCGCCTTTGAACCACATCAATTTTCTCTGCTTTCATGTTGGGAACCCCATACATCATGAGTCCACCTATTCGATCAGCATGCTCAAACACGGTCACCGTGTGGCCGATCCTGTTTAGTTGATCAGCCGCAGCCAAGCCAGCTGGTCCACTCCCAACAATCGCAACCTTTTTTCAATTGGATAAGGGAATTTTCAGAATACCCGAATATGAGAAAACTGTAGAGCTGAAGAAAAAGTCAGAAAACGTACCCTGTTCTCTTGACAGGAGGTCTAGGCACCATCCACCCTTCCTCGAAGGCCTTGTCGATAATTGCGCACTCGATGCTTTTGATCGAAACGGGATTCTCGATGATACCGAGAACACAAGAACCTTCACATGGAGCTGGGCACACTCGGCCGGTGAACTCAGGGAAGTTATTGGTCTCAAGAAGTCGATCTAGTGCTTCACACCATCTATTTTGGTAAACTAACTCATTGAATTCGGGAATTTTGTTGCCAAGTGGACAACCAGAGTGTTCCTGCCATTGTTTTCGAAAGATAAATTAACTACAACACGGAGAGGATGTAATACAATCAGCTTAACGAGGGAAAGTAGTTCCTTACCTGATGGCAAAAAGGCGTACCACAATCCATGCACCGTGCAGCTTGAGTCTTCACGAGTGGCCCAGGTTTTGTCTCTTCCATAACTTCCTTCCAATCATTCATCCGAACAGTAGGGTCCCTGTAAGATACTCCCTCACGCTCGTATGCAACAAATCCACGGTGTTTAATCGCATTATTAACCTGAGATGGTCGGGTGACCAGTTCGACATCTTCAACCTCTTTGACCTGAAATGCCAAAACACTTGCTGCTTAATGGGCTGAATAGGCTCAGGGGTAAAATAGTCGTTTCTATCATTTAGACTGTTTATTCAGCACAACAACCGAATAGCAATTCTGTTCATAAAGGTTAAGAAGATTTACCTGATTGACTGTTTCATTCACCTGATTCACGGCCACACTTGACGACTTGGCTGCCAACTTCTTAAGTTCTTCAAAGGCATCTTTCTCCACCAACTCGTCTTCTTCTCCAATATCAGCTTCTTCAGCAGCCTTCTCTGCAGCTTTTGTTACTTTCATGGCAGCCAAAATCCGCTTATAATCTCTTGGGAAGACCTTAATGAGTGTTTAGTAAACTAGCTAATCTTATCATGTAACGTTCTCATTCATCGAAATGGATTGTTGGTAAGCGTCTTAAACCCAGTAAGCACTTATGAGTGTTTAGTAAACGGCCACTAAGTGTCTCCATAGACTTAATAATGTACGGAGTTGCTACCATTAGTTTCAATGGGTAAACTAATGCTTTCAGTTTGCTGATTTTCCAGTCGTATCAAAGGACAAATGCACTTCCTGCTTCTTTCAGTTTGATGACTAATCTCACAAATTATAAACTCAGGGCATCAGTGATGAACATAACCACTACAGTCTCCATGAACCTTTCACCCATTCTAATGCCAAAAAAGTAGCATCTCAAAAACTGCAAAACAGTAATAATGATTCCTTCATTTGTTCAACATGCGCCAGGGCTCCTCCCTTGGAAGATTGTTCGCTTTCTATGGCGATCGTGAATAAACATGGAAACATGAAATTGAAGTCCCTTGTTCGAATATGCCCAAAACAATTTGAATTTCAAACCTATTGATCTTTAATTCCAATGGCAATGACAATGATGAACGCCCAAATCACAATTTGTTTATTACTGAGCATCGATATAAATAGACCATATCTATCCGATTACAATTAGTAAGACAGCTAGAAGGAAAACATTGATTAACATATAACAAGATCTAGATTTTTAATCGACTGAAACCTAACCTCTTTCGCACGAAAAGTGTGTGGATTTAGAAATCAGAGCAACGACCATTACGTTCCCAATCACCGTAACGAGTAGGCTCTGGACCTCGGGGACCACCATATTCGCCGGTCTCTTTATTGATATCAAGCTCTTCGCCATCATCTTCATCGTTTTCCTCTCCGTGACCTTGAGCTTTTTGGGTCTTATCTTCTTCGTTAGTGGCTCCGTCCTGATCTTGGTGAGTTTGAAGGTTTTCAGTCACACTGGAGATGAATCGATTTGTGGAGTTGGTGAATTCCGATCGGAAGGCGGAGAAGATGATAGCCGGACGAGAGATGGCGGTCGGCGGCGTTGAGAGTAGACGATGCAAGTTAGACAATGCCATTTCTTTGTTGCCACGGCCCACGGCCTGTGAATTAATTAATCAGAAGAACATTGTGGAGTCGTGACGTGGCTTATTTAACGTGATATGTTTTGCTGAAAATATGACGTGTGTATTTCTAATTTTAATACGTTACGACACAATGAAATGTCATAATGGAAGCAACTAAAATTAAATAATCAGTTATAACAATAATTTGATATGTTTATGCTGTTTGAAAAGTATAATTAAAAATATGAAGTAACATTCTATTCTCAAGTCCTCTTTTATCTATATTATATTATAAAGTATTTGATAAAAACTATTAAAACCTATTTTTTATGTATAAAGTATTGTTTATTGATGTATTTTACTTAAAATTCAAGATTACAAATAAATTGTGTATAAGTACAACTTATTAAAACTTTATATTTGAATTCGCGTAACTAGCTGTAAATAAATATAATCAAATAAAAGATAAACATCTCATTTTAAAATATAAAAAATTTAAAACATAATTATAATAATTATTGAGTTTGAACAAAATATCTAATTATTATCTTAATAAAAAAAATTATATCATTAAACTATAATAAAAAATGAATTAAAGAAATTACACAAAAAATAATTCTAAATAGTTAGTTTCTACTAATATCAATATATTTTTTTTCAAAATTTTGTGATATTTTTATATTTATATTTTATTTAAAAATAAAACACTATCACTTTTTCGAAACCACATAAACTGTATTATAATATCGACATAGACAAAAAATAAATAAACCAAACATTAAAATTGAGATTTATCTTGTTGCATTATACGAATACCCGTCTAATGATAAAGAAAAGGGAAAAAAGCAGGAAAAAAAAAACGCTTGTTTTCAAGTTTGTTAAGTAATAAAAAAAGGAAGGGAAAATTGCATCAAAATGTAACCAACTTTCACCTAATTTCTATTTTGGGAAACCAACTTTCAAAATCGTTATTTTAGGGAACCAACTTGCACATAATTCCTATTTTGGGGAACCAACTTTCAAAATCGTCATTTTAGAAAAACCAACATTCACCTGATTCTTATTTTGGGGAACCAATTTGCAAAATAATTATAAAAAAATAACTAAAATTCGTTTTTTTTCCATAAATTAATGCAATAAAATCTATTTTTCATTTCAAATATCGTTTTTTTAAATAAAATCTATTAAACCATAAATAAATTATTTCGTTATTAAACTTAAATTATAAAAAAAAATTAATAAATTACATAAAAAATGAGAACTTTTAAATAGTTGATTTGATATTAACATTGATATTTTTTTCCAAATTTACATTTTATTCAAGAATAAAATCATTATTGTTTTCTTAAAAACATATAAAATCGTATTATAACGTCGACATAGACAAATAATAAAATAGAACATTAAAATCGAGATGTGTCTCCCTGCATTGTGCGAGTACTCTTCTAGTTAGATACATACATACATACATACATACATACATACATACATACATACATACATACATACATACATACATATATATATATATATATATATATATATATATATATATGGTTCAAACGAGAACCCCTGTGATTTACGAGAATGCGAGAACAACATATTAACCTTATATATATAAGTTTAGGTTATTGGATTGTTAATGTCAAATTGTTAGGAACGGACCCAACTCAAAACGAAATGCAAACTTGAGTGTACTTACTTTGAAAGAGGGACCGTATCAAGATTTAAAGCCAACCACAAGGACCCACAATGTAATTTACTCCTCTTTTGATTTTAATTTGTGTATTTTGATCTTGACTGCTATCCTGTAATTTGCATATTACTTAAAATTAAATGTCTATCTATACTATCTTATAAAGCATTTGGCTAAAACTCTTAAAAACTCTTAAACCCGTTCATCCCTATCCGATTTCATCCTATATCTGAATTCGTGTAACTAACTGCAGATCAACACAATCAAATACAGGATAAACATCTTATTTTAAATATAAAAAATCTAAAATATAATTAGGATAATCATTGAGTTCTAACAGAATACTTAATTATTATATTTATAAAATGTTATATTATTAAATTCATTATTAAACTTAAATTAAATTATATAAAAAAATAATCTATACTATATTATAAAGCATTTGACAAAAACTCTTAAAAATTATTTTTTATGCGTAAAGTATTGTGTTAGGACTGAAAAATCAGTATTAATTGTATTCGTCTTGAAAGATTAATTTTAGTCTATAATTGTAAAATCAGCGTGTTTGACTTTCTTAGACTAGTTTGACTTTGACTTTGTTAGTTAGGTTGACCATATAAATATGGTTTAATCTTTGTAATTAGAGAGAGAGAGGAGCTTAATTGTAATATTCAGATAATTGAGGGTTTGACTGAGCTTACATGCATTGACTTTCTCTCTCAAGTGTTCTTGAGTTCTTACATGTAAAATCTATGAATCTGCCATGATTGATATGAAGATATTGAAGATTGATCAGTAATTGTGGACACACAATTGGTATCAAAGCTGGAATGCAAGAAATCAGGAAAAGAAATTGATCAGATAAGTGTTCTGAATTTTTTTTTTTTCGTGTTCTTCGTGTTCTTTTATTTTTTTTGTTGATTTTGATCCGATTTTATCATAAAAATCTTGTGTTTTCATGTTATAAAATGATCAAAATGCTCGAAATTGCATTGTGAATCTTTGTTATTCACAAATTTTTGTGATTTGATCAACTTTTATCAAGATTTGATCGGATTTTTAGGTTTTAATTTTTTTTTTTCGTGTTCTTAATTTTTTTTTCGTAAATCAGTGTTTTGATCCATTTTTTTTAAAAATTTCTTTTAGTTTTTGTGTTTTTGATAGTTTTAATCCGGTTTTATTTTTTTGTGTTGTATTTCTTGTTAGAGTGCATAACATGTTCAAGGCCCAACCAGAAAGTCTGGCCCAATATAACTTGACCGGATAACAGTCCGGTTACTTCATCTTGTGCAGTTCATCGACATTTTGTGCAGACTAGAGCTCAATCGCAGGTTTCATTCAGATTAGGCGGTGTTTAAGTAAACCGCACACCATTCAAGCGGTGTTCGTCTAAACCGTGTGCCACTTGAGCTGAGAACGAGCGGAGAACTAGCGAAGAAGGTAAACCGTGAGATACACCGGAGAAGGTATGATCGGTATTTCAAGAGGTATTCATCTACACCGCTCACCTATTGATCGGATTGTTCTCCGGTTTGTTTCAAGACCCAATCAATTTCTCGGCTAAGCACAACTCATCAGGTTTGATTTTCAATTTCATCTCAAGTTTTTAATTTGAGCGGTTTATACCTAAACCGATCAACTCTTGTCCGGTATTCGAGMGGTATAGAACTTAGAATTGGTCATCAAAGTTTTTGAGCGGACTTCTAATCCGCTTGATTCCTCTTACCTTGATTCCTTTTTGTTTGTTGTTTCTTGATTCTTTTTGATTTGGGATTCTTATTCACTATTCATACAGAAGAAAGGTAAAGAAGCAGCAGGTTGAAGAAGCAATTTTGTTTTGTTGTCATAAGTAGCCGCAAGTTCATTATAGTTTAACATTGTGTGCAGGTGACTGTGAGCTACTATTAGCTACACAGGATATGAGTTTTGACTGAAACAGAAGCAACAGGTATTGACAACAGGTTTCATAACTGCAGCAAAACAGCAAAGTAACAACAAACAGTAACAGCATTGCAAACAACAACATCATATACAATTTTGCTGTTTTAAAACTGTTTTGATTGCAACAAAATCTGTTTGTGTTTCGCTTCACATTGTTGTCACTGATTATTGTGAACTGTTTGACACAGCAGCAATTAGGCTGTCTTGCCAACAGGTTTCTAAACAGTAACTCAAGTGTAACAACAACTCCGCAACAGCAAGTCCAAAACAAGAAAGCAGCAGCAACTATTTTGACAGCAACCATTTTGACAGCAACCATTTTGACAGCAACTATTTTGACAGCAACCATTTTGACAGCAACTAT